GTGGAATATGTTAGAACTTTTCTTCTAGGTGAACATATATATATAGATATATATAGATATGTAGATATATATATAGATATATATACACACACACATACACATATATATTTGGCAGAAAAGTTATCAACTGAAGCCCAACCTGTTAAGTGTAGAAGTTGGAGGTGGATTGGCTATTATTACCTGTAGAACCCATAACATGAGCTGTCACAGATACTCTTTCATTTTAAAGACAGACAGTAGTTACTTGTAAGCCTTCTGCATTAGTTAGTGATTAATTTCAAACTATTTATAAATTAAGGTAAAGAATATTTAAGATTGTAATTTTTGGCTTGGGGGGCTATGAGGAATAAACTAAAGTGGGTGGAGTAGTATGAGATTTATAGTTGGGCAACCTAGTTGGGAGCACTGATTTTGTTAATTGTCTGACCTTAGATAAGTCATTTAACCTTTTGAGGCCTTAGTTTCCTTATCTCAAAAGTAAGAAGATTGAACTAAATCACCTATAAAATCTCACCCAAAATTATAATCCTGTTACACTTGCCCCTTGGAATTTTTTTAAAGACCATTCTAGATTAATATTTAAGAATCCTTCTCCCAAATAAGGTAGAGTTTCTATTATATCTGCTGATTTGTGTTAGGCATGGAATGTTGTATTTTGTTATATGTAGTATATAATGATGTATGTCATATATAATGTATATCACATAATGATGTAAAACTACTTTAATATTTTCTCCCTTACATACTTGGATATTGTGTAGTAGTGTTTATGTTTATCATTAGTATAATGGGGAAAATATATCCAAAAATGGCCATATTATTCTTTAACTGCAAAATTCCAGTTACTCATACATTTTAACAAAGAACCTGTATTGTCTTAGAATGTGAGCTATCACAAATCTGGAGTAAAGTTTTGGATGTATAATGGGTGAAGATGTGGAATCTTAGGTGAAACTTGCCTTTAAAAAAAAAATGGACATTGCAGGTCTCAGTTTCTGCCTCCATTCATTCAAAAAGTATTTGTTGAACATAAACTACATCCAAAGCCTGGTTAGTTTGCAAAGATGTATATAACACTTTGTCCAAAAGGAGTTTATAGTCTAGTAGCCCACTCAGTAAACTTTTTTTCCCCACAGTATATAAAATATTCATTTATAGCTATGAACTTGGATCAGATAATGGGTTGCATATATCCATAGAGGGGAAGAATATAACCTGTCTGTTTCAGAGGAGTGGGATACACATTATATCTGTCTTTTGGCGGGGAAGGGTCGAAATGTTTTGGGGCAAAGCCTATTGTGAATTATTTCATCACTGGATAGATTTAGAGCTAGAAATGACCTTAAATGTCATCTGTCCAATCTTCTCATTTTTCAGATGAGGAAACAATTTCAGGGAGGTTTAGTAACTTGCCCAAGGTCAAACAGGTGTTTTCACCCGCTTTGGTCCCGTAAGCCTGGGGTATTCCCCTTCCTCATCTCTGCCTCCTGGCTTCCTTTAAGTCTCAACTAAAATCCCAGCTTTACAAAGCCTTTTGCCACCCCCCCCTTAATACTAGTTCATTTTTTTTTGGTGTCTCTCCAATTAGATTGAGCTCCTTGAGAGCAGGGATTGGTTTTTGCCTTTATATTCCCAGAGATTAGCACAGTGCTTGATACATGGTAGGCAATTAATAGATATTGATTGACTGTGACAGATAGTAAGTGATAAAAATATTTAAGCCCAGTTTTTCCAAGTCTAAATTCATTGCGCTTTCTCTTCATGGCTGCCTCATATTTTCCTGATACTGTTTTTAAAGGGACCATATATACAGACTTGGGACAGATGAGGAAACAGGTCCAGCAAAGTTAAATGACCTGTCTGTCCAAGGTCATAGAGATAGTTGAAGAGTTAGGATTCCAACTCCATATCTAGCACTCTTTCTATTGTACCACTCTTTCTTTTTTCTTTTTCTTTTTTGTTGAATTATTTTTAGCATCTGACATATTTTATTTACTCTCTGGAAACCTGAAGAGAAAAAAAAATTAGAGCTGAAGATAAAATCCTACAAGTTGAAGTAGAAGCTAAGGATTAAAAAAAGATGGCTGTAAGACCAGTTGGAAAGACTGCTGAAGAATATAGTGGGTAGGAACAAGCTATTGAATTCTATTGCATAGATTTACAGACCACCTATGCCATCTGGATCTTTTTTCAACTGTCTCATCTCAGCTCTTTAGTACCAAACTGTTTCTTTAGAGTCTATTGTAAAATTGGAGAGAATGTGGGATGGTAATGGAGCTCCTTTCTGCACATTGAGCTGTCAAATGTAGTACCATTGTTGCTAGATGGATGAATCAATTCATTTCAGTAAATGATGCATTTCAGCAGGAAATCTGGCATTTTATTATTTTAAGCTACATTACTGGTTCAAGAGTGATTGAAAAGTAATAGGAATTCTTTGTAAACCCTTACAACCTCCCCTCCCTCATTTTTTGGTGGTTCATTGATTAGGATTCAGTGGGACATTCCTTTTCCCCTTTCCTGAGATACATCTACATCACAACAACTTTAGCCTCATGGATTTAGGATGGAAGGGCTGATAAATAGGAAAGAGAAGGATATTTTTCTTCATGGGAAATGGTAATTATTAGCAAGGGCCTGGTCCAATTTTGAGACCGTATTGATAGCAGCACTTCTCATTAAACATTTGATTCTCTTTTAAGTGCTTCATTTCAAGTTAGAACCTGGGGCGGGTAGAATTACATTCAATGTTGTTTAAAATCATGAGAAAATAACTGGTTACTGCAGAATAGAAAACTTCTGGACCCTTCTAAAATGGGTTGTATATTAAAGCGTTCCCTTTGCTTGCCCATCTTCAATTATACTCTCATGAGCAGAGAAAACTTTGATCTTTTCATTTAGTTGTAACAGGATGAATTCCTATATGTGTTCTAAATTGTTATTTTTAATTCAGAGCTTACTCCAAAGATCTTGGCCTTCTTATTTTCTACCTTTTTCCAGCACCATTGGAAGGAGATTAATTAGTCTTTGGTTGTTTTCCACTGCCCCTTTTTCTCTTGCTTCTTTCCAGTAGTAACTGCCATTGTTATTTTTTTTGTTTTTACTCTGTAGGCTGTAGTATGTAGCGTCTATGAAGTCAGCATTTTTCTCTGCTACAATTGCACTTTTCCTCCTCCAATCCCTGTAAAGAAAAGAAAGGTGGTTGTCTCACACTATTTTCATTTTGCCCAGTCATTGCCATCCAAAGGATCTTTTTCTTTTTACTGGCCTACACAGGAGATTACTCCCTGGGCAGAGTATTTATGGGCTCAAATTATAGTGAGGAGAAATCTGACACAAACATTAATAGAATAAATCTCATCTTCCGTTCATTGTGTCTATGCCATTTCACTGTTTTACTCAGAGAATGAATTATAAAAGATTTTAGATCTCATTTAGGCCTAAAGTTTTAGATTTTTAGAGATGAGAAAAAAAATAGGTTACGGGGAGCGGAAGTCATTTGAGGCCAAGTGATTACTTTTATTCTTGTTTCACATGATTTGGTTTTCCTTTGTGCTTATGGCTGGGCAGCATGATTCTCTTGTTGTCTAGCTATATTTAACTCAAATTCTACCTGTACTACTATATAGCTAGTGACCACAAGTAGATTTCACTTTGAATATTGCCAACGTGGTATGTAAACGGCTTTTTTTTTTAATTCAGTAAAATTATAAAGCCAATGGGATGACAATTGAGTTCAACAATTCAATGAACATTTATGGAATGTCTTAAGTGTTCAGTATTGTTCTAAGCACTATGTGTTAGTGTGAGGACGACTTGTGAAAACAAATTTTGTAATAGCTATAGAGTTCTTCACATCCTTTCTACCTCTGTTGTGATTATTCTTGGTTTAGGGAAAATAAAATACCTAACCAAAATTTCCTTGATAAAACCTGGTTATTTTTCTAGTCACTTTTAAAATATTGCCTTCTTCCTAGAATCTGTATTATATTCCTAGCTAAATTCCATTTGTAGTTGAAGTTTCTAAAATTTTTTCTTATGAGGTTCTTTGTCAGGAATGTCTTGTGGGGGGATAGAACCTTTTTCTCTCTAATTTCTGCTGCTGCTTTTATTTAGTACTTTTAAAAGTACTAAATGGGCAGTGGTTATTTTAACTGGGGTTAACTGGGGTTCTAAAAGGCAAGTAAATAATCTGAAGGAGGAAATGAGTTCTTAAGGAATAAAAATTTTGTTCATTTATATTTGCTTATTAAGGGTTACATGCAAATTCATGGAATTATGTTTATGGAATGTTTTACAAACTAAAGCATCAACATCAGCACCTTTAGTGTCATTTTAATAAAAATTATTAGCTTATTTTCATTACTTTCATTTAGTAGAGGTTTGTTATTTATTCAGAAAAACTCAGGGAAACCCAGTAATAACTGTTACTTCACATGATAAGAATTTTAGGCATGGAAAAATATGCTTATGTGGTTACTGGAATTAAGAGGAAAGGGGCCTCAAGTAGTCAGGACATTTTTGTGCAACAGAAGCTCTGAGCATATTCATGGATATTTAAGACTTTCTATCCTGTGTTGATGTTCAGTAATTATTCTTAGGTTAAAACAAAACTCAGGTCAAAAGTATACTTTAAATATGACATTCACTACTTTCCCTGTATTTCTAAGTTTGCTTTGTGAGCAACTTAGTATGCCAATCGCCTTGCTATGGAAGCAGATTGGTCCATGTTATTCTATAGTTTAGTTGGAACTGTGTACATAGATAGGTCCCTTACAGTCTTTTGTTTTCTGTTAGTGTTCTATATGGCATCATGCTTTTTAGTTATACATACATTCTGTGAAGCCCAAGAGTTATTCAGCATAAATGCATAATGACAAATGAAATCTGGTCACTTAAAAAAAAAAAAGGAAAAAAGAAAAACTTTTTTTTTTGTAAAATGGGTTTAAAAAACTTGAATGACTACTTTATTTTTGTTAACTTGATTTTTTCTACCATAGGTCTCAACAAATGGCAGCATATTACATCAGACAGTGACGAGTCCTGCTGCTCCCTTACAGTGTCTGACAGACCACTGTGGATTCAGATTGGGAGCATTGAAGTTAACAGTGAAACGGGCAGGTCTGTCTGTTTTAAGCCCTGCCCCAAAGTGAAGGGGGGCATCATGTCATAACTTAATTATTCCCCAAATAGTCTAGGTTAGAGTTGATGAATTCATCAGTTATTTTTCTTGTTTTCATTGGTACCTGTGTACCTCATGTAGATTTTAGGCTGTAATTAAAGTCTACTTGGTGATACCTGTCCTGCTCAGAGAGCAAGGCTAGAGTCTTCATGTGTGTGCTTTTGAACATCTGGACCTATTTCTTTTTCAGTTGGTATGCAGGGCCGTATGTTTTATAATCGTAATAAGTAATGATGGAGTCCTGGTCGAGTGGTGGTTTTTAAATATTTTCAACTCTCTCAATGGCCTTTTAAAAAAAAAAAAAAAGATATTCATTACATCATTGTAGGTTTTTTGTTGTTTGTTTGGATTATTTCTTATTGTACATATTCTTGGTCAATTTATCTTTGAAAGTCTACATAAAAGGAATAGAAACTGATCGTGGCAAAGGGCCAACAGCCAAAACGCTGTTGTAATCTAGTTCTTTAAATTTTATTATATTAAATGAGACACTTGATAAAACCCTGAAAAGTTCTGATGCAAGAGAGTAGTTCTTATTCTGTTAGAATAATTTTGGGCTCTTGCTTTGGTAGAAAAGGGATTTGTATTTAATTGTTGCCTTTAGATTTGGATATGTTTTGTATACTTGCTTACTTTCTGGAATTTTTGAGAATTTATTTGCCAGTATCATTGTTATATTGGAAGTGTAGAAGCATATTGGCTCTAATTGTAAGCAGATGATTGAATTGGAACATTCTGGATCAATTGTGATCAAAAGCTTTGGATATTCTGGACTTTTACTCATATAATGTGGCTGGCTACCCTTTAGGTGATTTGTCGTGGTCTAGAATGGACAAGTTTGTTTAGTTGCCCCCAAATAGTATTAACCGCATGAATCTTTTACACCTTTGCTCGCTTCCTTCAACTGAATTTGAAACCAAATGGTTCATAATAGTGGAAGAAGACAGATGCAGATTCACCAGGGAAGAACCTGCAAATGCATAGCTGAATGTGATTTTTAAGCAAAATGGGGGCACCATTAAGAATGGGCAACCAGAAATCACTAGCTTTGTGGATGTGATCCTGACTTGCTAACGTGATTTCAAGCAAGACATTTAACTTCATTGTGCTCTTTTCCCATTTTTTAAAAACAAATAATAGTTTTCAAGGCCTCTGAGGCATTTGAACCTAAGGTCTATATGAATAAAAGACTATTAGCATTATAATTATAACAATGAAGCATCTAATTTCATAAAGTTGTGACTTATATGAGTGCCAAAGGACAAAAACCTTTTGAACTGTCCAACTAATATATTTTTTTCAGAAGCAGTGATTTGTAATAGGCTGTCTGTGAACTTAGCTTCCAGAAATAATATTGCAGCCAGATACGGAGTTGTCCTTTTGAGCGGGCTGAATGTGTTGGTTAAACTTGGACCCAAATACCTTCATAGTATTTGAAGTATTTCTGGCAGAAACACGTCTCTCATTGGTTGGGCAAAAAACTGGCGCAGGGTGTTCTATTTCTCTCACATTAGCCTTATTTTTTACAGGCCTTGAGCCAGGAAGCGGATGAAGCACAAGGCCTCCGTTGCGCGTTAGCAGTAACACCAAGCAATCTGGCAAATAGTAGAAATGATAAATCATTTTTGAAATATAATATTGTGGGGGTGTTTATTTTTTAAATTCTTGTGCATGATATCTAGTTTATTCTTAGGCAACAGTAAATGTTATTTAATTTTGTTAGAAAATATGCCTCACAAAAATTTCTTTCTTTCTCGTGGACGATCAGTTTTGGAGTTCAGCTTTGTGTGGATTATCATATCTTGGAAGGGGTAATGATATAGCAATAATTTCCTTAAATATCTGATTTCTTGTGTTACTGTCTTGACTTCAATCTTCATTCTTCTCAATTATGTAAAGAGAACCTTTCAGTGACCACAGTGGTTTTTTTGGGATATTATAAATACCCATGCTGTATTTTTTTTCCCATGGGGATGGGGTGGAATAGAGATAACTTTTAGGCATCTAGTGAGGTCCAGGAGAAAGCTACTTCTGATAAGGGGTAGTTCACCACATCAGAATCAAATTTATCTTTTGTGTAAGGTATACATGTACTTATGCTTTCTGCTGTTGTGTTTGTTATAGGCAAAGGTTCTCTATTTTAGAGGATATCTTTGCTTGGACAAAATGCTTTCTGATTAATGAACATGCAAATACAGTAGTTAAAGAAAATTAGCCTGCTTTCTAGATATACTTATGCACTCTCAGTCTTGGCATTAGAAGATAATATTATTAGGTGATGATGCTTCTGTGTATATTTCTGTCTGTTGCAAGAGATTGATAAGCAACCAGCCTTCCTTTCTCCTCTTCACACGCACAAAGACCTTTTAATTTACAGCGGATTTCACAGAGGCTTTTGCTACTTGTTTGTGACCTTGCTTTTAAGATTTATGGCTAGTCTTTTTTTAAAATAAAAAATTCAATGAATATCACAATCCAGCAAATGTGTACTAAGTGCCAATTGTTGCTACAACGTAGGGTTGGTGTGTTGCTTTTGCTTCCCAGAAGTACCAAGCAGTTGAGTAGCTCTACTGTATTTAACAGCTTTTCTATCTTGGGGAGGGGTGTGTGTGTGTGTGTGTGTGTGTGTGTGTGTGTGTGTGTGTGTGTGAGTGAGAGTGTGTGTGTGTATATATACACATATGTATACAAATATATTTTTAAAAGATAAATATTGGTAAAATATATATGTATAAATAAGTATACATATATATTTATATGAAATAGATGCTCAGACTTTCAGGAGGTCCTGTTTTTAGTATTTTATATGTAAGGATAGGATGAATTCCCTTTTAAGTAACATTTTAGACAGTATTGAACAAATTTTTTGTAAAATCAAGTTTTTAATGATAGCTAATAATAGTGGCTGTTAACAGGTAAAGATTTATGTAACAGATACTTTAATATAGGAAACTAGAATATTTATTGACTAAATGTTGACATGTTGACATAAAAAAAGCTACTGCAGGAACAAATATTTTAGTTGTTTGGTTAGATGCACATTAGCAAAACGATTCCTCACAGTGCAGCTTGAATATTTGTTCTGTCTTTGTTGATATCTTTTGTTCAGAGTACCAGTAATATATGTTCTTTTTATCAGTTGTGTATTGAATTTAATGTAAAACCTAAAGACCTGAAGTTTAACTGAACACACTCACTTATTAATTTTATAAATCAGATGACATTAACATGGGTTGTTGGAGTAAAAATAGAGCTGAATCTTGAATGACATAGGATTTTGTTTTTATCCAAGTTTATAATTATGCCTAACAACTTTTTTTTCTTTTTACTGTATTTCAGCACAAAGACATTAGCAGCAGGCTGATTTCCTGGAACTCACTACACTGCCACGAGAGAACACCGGCTCTTCAGGACTGAAAGAAACTAGAGACTGATTTTTTTTTTCCTTTTTTCAAATCTTCAAAAAGGAGAAAATGTTAAGAGCCGTTGACTAAGACAGATCCAATGTCTTGTACTTGTAAATTGTAAATTGTTTCTATATTAAACTGAAGAAATGGTATTAGGGAAATATTTGAGAAAACTTTTTGCAATAAATAATGCATGAGATGAGGAGGAAAATGATGTGAAGTGCACATGCAAGGACTCACTTGAATTTTAAATCTGAAGAGTAACTGACAAAACTTCTTTTGATTGTGAAGTTATCAGTCCATTTAGATGTAAATCCCTGAAAATCAAGACATGGGATGATGGCAGGAACTGTTAGACTTTTGTTTTTCATTTTCAACCTTCTTCAATTTTGTTACATTTTGTGTTTCTTCCGACGCTTATGTTAGTGCAGATATGAGCAAATGGTGCTTCTAAAACTACTTGAAGCTGTAAGTCGGTTTAGCCAAGACCAAGGTTTCCTAGTAGAGAGATAACGAACAATTTTACATCTCCTGGGAATTTTTTCCCCCTAAAGCAGGGATGTAGCATTCTAAGTAGAAAGGTTTGCTTGTTAAGAAATATTAAAATTTATTTATTTGCCACCAGTATTTAACATTTTTGTGCACCTTTTAATGATTAAATACTTTTTTTTCCTCCAAATTATGAATAGGAGTAAGGAGGTGGCTTTTTCTCACTGGTGAGAATTAGTATTTAGGAATGAAAATGTGTACAAGATTAACTTCTGTTTCTATGGAGGGATTTGATGATTTTCTTTCCTTGATGATGGTTCCACCTAGTTTGGAAAATAAAGTTACATTTTCTAGGTTTTGGAGAAGACACCTGGAAAGAACTCCTTTTGGGAAGAAGTCTGTCCAGTCTAAATGCAAGAAAAATCCCTACTAACATCAGTAGGAGTTAAGCCAGGTGGAAGACTGCAAGAATGGGCCCATAGAGATGGCCTCAAACCTTTCATGAATGGAGCATGAAATAATAATAATAATATAATTATTTGGTCTTTTTTTTTTTTGGTAAGTATGTAGATGGAAATCCATTTCCTTCCCCCTACCCCCTTTTTGTTGAATAAGAAAAGCATAATATACTATGAGAATAACCAGATGGACCTATTAGAGATACTAAATTTCTAAAGCAATTTTATATTTAATGGTGCCATACTTTATAATAAACGTGAAATTTTTTAGTGGTAATAACAAATTATTTTTAAAACCAGAAAGAGAATCTGTAGCACCTACTTATATACACATACACATATATAAATATATATATATATTTAAAACCCACCTCATTTAAAGCAACATATCAGATAATTGAGCGCTTAGCTCAAATGACTTAATTTTTCATCATCTAGTGTAAATTTGGAAGTTGGTTCTTTTGGTCCATGTGGCATCTCCTTTAATAATGCCCAGGTGCTCAGGATGAATATTTAAGGTTCTGGGTGAGTTCTGGAGCATTTATTTTTGCATCTCAAGTAAGGTATATCTAACTTTTTGCTTCTGGAAAGCTTAGAGATTATAAAACAAATAAAGCTAAATTTTTGGGTTTTGCCCCAGTCCTGGCCTCCTGAGTATTTTCTCATATTACAAAAGTATCCATTTTGACATAATGGAAGGTAAGCTCAGGGTCTGGAATAGCAGGGATATTACATATTACAACTGCAGTGCCCTGGCTAAGTCATGCACATTTTAGGAAAGCAACCCTGCAGTGCACTTCCCTACCTGCTTAACTCCAGTCAGTCTTGTTCTCTCACCAGCACTAACCAATAGCACCTACTACTGGGGCTCTGTCTGACACCTGCAGTTCTTTACACAGGCAGAACTCTTATGGACTTGAAGGAGTTTGACTTGAATGGAGACTGCAAAATCGTGGTATTTAAGGGAGAATAAGGATTCTTTATTAGGGGGTTGGGTGGGGGAAATGAACAAATAGTAAAGTAAAAAGAAACTGACAAATTAGATAATTAAACATTCACAAGTTTTTCTAATGATCAGTTACTGAAGCTGTTATACTGTAAACCGGATTTTCATTTTTTTCTTTAAAAATGAAATTCAGTGATATTTAAAATGTAGATGTACTGTATTGTTGGTTTTTGCTTTCTTTGCTTTAGTTGCTTAATATTTAAGCTTTGCTTCATGCTAACTTTTATCTGTATTTTAAATGGTCACATAACTATTTCATTTTAGACTTGAATGGAAAACATGCATCACCTCTCAAGTTTGCTCAGAGTTTAATGTTAAAGAATGTCATGTAACATTTATTCCAATAAAGTCTTGGATTTTTTATATTTAAAAAATTAAAATGAATGGTTTTTGAAAGTTCCTTCTGTTTTTTTAAAAGTTAATTTTAACTCTACATCATCTGAAGTACATTCAATTATGAAACAGTCTTGAGATTGATCTTTTAGGAGCTGCCTTTAGGAATTGAATACTAGAAATACACATTGTAACTACAGACAGTTCTGGCTTTATGAAAAGTTACATTATGAAATCCGACTTTACATAAAGAATTCTGAAAGAAATCCACATTCCAGAAAAAAACACCTATGCTAACTTTACTGTGCAGTATTGTGCTCACTCTCTGCCCCTTGACCCCCCCCACCAAAAAAAAAAAAAAAGCCTAAAAAGAAAAACCCTTAAAAAAATCTTCCAAGTAAAAACAGAATGGGCTTCTGTTGCCAGTGGAGGGAATTGGCTTAAGACCTGCAGCCTGAGAGAGGAGACCTTTGCCCCATTCTGTCCACCCTCTTGAGTGTTTGCTCTGTGTCTGCCTTCTGTCTGCATTGCGGGTGCTGTGCTCAGGTACAGTGTGTCTGTCCCTGGGCCCAGCGTTTGCCTGTCTGCCCCTCCTGTCTCTCCAGTACAACTCCTAAGTGTTAGCCCAGGTTCTTTCTCTTGGTTCTGGCCAGGCCCACCAGGTGGCTAACTCCAGCCCTGCCCTCCACCTCCCCACCAAAGTCCAGGAACCATGTGCCAGCCCCCTTACTGCTTCCCTTCCCTCCCCCCCCCAACAGTTTGAGTGCAAATTTGTATTATATAATATGTAGATCAGTGTACTTATGTAAAGTGAGAACTATCTATGACATTAAAGTACTACAGCAACAACATTCAGAACTTTTGAGCTATAAGGAACCTTAGAGACCATCTGGTTCAGAGGTTAAAAACCTTGTTTCACAGACCCCTTTTGGCAGTCTAGTATAGTCTGGACACCTCAGAATTGTGCTTTTAAACCCATATAACAAAATAGGATTACAAAGAAAACCAATTATATTGAAATGCACATAAAGATATTAAAAAAGTTAATAGATCTCAAGAACTGAGGATCTAGTTCGACCCTCTTATTTTACAGAGATGGAAACTAAGGCCCAGTGAAGGGATCATTTTACCATTAAGGATGGAGTCTTTGAAATAGGAAAATAACTACAAGTCTTAGGCCCTTAATTCGGCCTTTTTGATGGTTAGGATAAATCTAAGTTTATTTCCATCAGAGCTGTATATAATGAGGTATTTCTCCACTTATTAATACCCTGTTTTGTTATAGAATATAACTGTTGATACTTTGGTAGATCACTTCCTTTGTCAGTAAACATTTATTAAATGCCTAGTATGTGCCAGGCTCTGTGGTAAGGAATAGAGTCATTAAAGAGAGGTCAAAAGGTTGATCTCCAACCACTTCACTATCGTTGCCCCCCACCCCTAAGCAGAATGTATGTTTGCTGCCTAAAAGATTTATTATTTATGAACCTATTCTGTATTACAGAGTTTGCACTGAAAATTTGCATTCAAGCAGTGAGGTATTATTGAACAAAGCCCTTTAAGCCTTGGCCGCTGCTAATACCTATTCTGTGTACCGCTTAGCAAGGCATTTCATCTCTCTGATGCTAGTTTATAATACCTGTAGTACCTATCTCACAGGATTGTTATAAAGATTAAATGAGATAGTATATGTGAATATAAATATGTTGCAAATTTCAAGTGTTAGGTAAATGTCACATTATTGTCTTCATGTAGAATAAACATTCTCTCACTAGTCTGTACTTTATCTAAGGTACATGATTAGCCGCAGTAAAAGGGACGAAGTCTGATTGACTATTAGAGTATCCTAGACTTAGCCTTGGGCTCAGTAAGTCTCAACTTAGTCTTTCATTTCTCTGGCCCTGTGTCTTCTATTGGGTATGAGGAAGTTGTGCTAATGCAAACACAAAGGACCTGTGATTTTTTGGGGGGAACTTATCATTAGAAAGGATGTGTGAATTTTTCTAATCATAGGGTACCCATGATTAAAGTTCCAGTAGTTAATAGTTTAATCCTAAGGAGACCCTGAGATACACAGAGGTTGAAAGACTTGCATTGGGTCATCTGATCCTATTGCCTGGTTTTATAGGTATGAAAACTGAGACAGGGACATTAAATGACTTGTCCAAGGTAGCACAGTAAGTAGCAAAGCCAACATTTACAAGTTTCTTGGTAAATTAGTTGTAGTGTAATTGCTTGTGCTTTTTAAGACCAGAGTTAATTGCAGTAGAAAAAGGCAAATGAAGAATCTTGACTTCCTTTCTAATGTTAATCTTTAACGAAGTAAATGAGATCTATAGTATATTCATCATACTATGCATATGTATGGATATTTACACATGCACTTGGAAAATGAGTCAGAGTATCATACATATAGTTGTTGATTTGTTTTATGCTATCCCTCAGTCAAATGAAATGACAAGCATAGTTTCAATATCATCTGCCTTTGAATGTTGTGTGTGAAGTATATCATTTTGTCCCTAGGCAGAGATCTCTCCATTAGTGGCAAAAATTCCCTGCCAATGTGAAAATTCTGCTTCACTTATTTTTATATTTGATTACTAGAGTTTCTCAAATGACATATTTTGTATTATCTTCCAGAGTCTAGCATTTTTTAAGAAAGTTTTTTTTTTTTTGTTTTTTACTTTTAGGCAATTGGGGTTAAGTGACTTGCCTAGAGTCACACAACTAGTAAGTGTCAAGTGTTTGGTCTGAGGCCGGATTTGAACTCAGGTCTTCCTGACTTCAAGGCTGGTGCTCTATCCACTGCGCCACCTAGCTGCCCCTTTAATAAAGTTTTAAAAAGTCCCTACTACATATAAAGGATGGTTTCTTAAACTGGTATTTGTGAACTTATTGTTTTGGAATTCTTTTTTCTTTTTTGGTAAATTTTAAAATTTATTTTAAACTTAAATGCAAAACAAGAAAAGAAAAAAATAAATATTGCCATGTACACAGCAGAACATAAGAGAGAATTCAATATAAAACAATAAATTTTTATTTTAAGAAAACCTATATAATAAATACCACACATTGTTTTCAAAGCTGCCCAGCTTTTCTTTGCTTACTTATAGGTTTTCTTTTGTTCTCTGCTGTGCACTTTTTCCTTTATTTTTCCCCCTCCCTCCCCTCTCCGTCACCCTAAAAAAGGCTACATTTAAGCATGGACACACACACACACACACACACACACACACATCTACACATATACACACAGATATCTATATACCTATATGTATGCTCACATGTACACATATACATTCATCCACATATATGTAAGACCATAGTGTGCTTACTTCCACTTGTCATATGTTTCTCTGAAGGTGGATAGCATCTTCCTTCATATATCCAAGTCTTTCCATGTTTTTCTAAATCAACCAGCTCATTGTTTCCTACACCACAGCAATATTCCAGTCCAATCCCATTCTATCTGAGAGATCGTCTATGAAAGTTTTTTCCCTAATTTTCTGCATTCCTTCTATTCTTGGCTACATAAGTTTTATTTACACAAGAAAATTTTAATTTAAAGTAACCAAAATTATCCATTTTACATTTCAACAATGCTTTCACCTTATAATTTAAGGTCTGATACTGCTGAATCAGCTTCATTTACATCTTTTTTTCCCTGTTTTCTTTGAAGTTCCTGACCTTTTGTTCTTCCAAATGAATATTGTTATTATTTTTTCTAACTCAGTAAGTTTTTTTTAGTAATTTAATTGGGGTGGCATTTAATAAACAGATTAAGTAAACTTGTCATTTTTAATTATATTGGTTTTACCTACCCATGAACAATAAATATTACTTATTCAATTATTTAGTTGTGACTTTATTTGTACAAAAAGTGTTTTATATAGTTCATATAGTTCCTATGTCTGTTTTGGCAGTTATACTCTCAGGTATTTTATACTGTCTAGTTATTTTAAATGACCTAAAGCAATATAGACACATAGTGTAGTTTTCCTATTTTTCTCTTTTGATTAAATCTATTTTAGCTTTAACTTTATCTGAGATAATGATTACTACTGCTGCTTTTTTTACATAATAAATTCTACTCCTGTCCTTTATTTTTATCTTCGTGTGTATCTCATTTTTATAGTGTTTCCTGAAAGTAACATATTGTTGAATTCAATTTTTAATCTGCTATCTGTTTACATTTTATGGGTAAATTCATCCCATTCACATTCTAAGCTACAATTACTTGTGTATTTTCCTCCTTCCTATTTTTCCTCACTATCCTCCCTCATTTGCCCTATCTCTCCTCACTCCTCTGCCTTACTTCTACCCACTACCTGGCCCTCCTATTCCTTAACCTACCCACCCCTCCAAGAGTCCCTCCTTTATCCTCTCCCTCAGCCCTATTTTGGAAATCTTTATTAACATTTTGATATTTTAAAAAATATTTTATATCAGCCTAGATCCACCTTTTCATCCTCTTACCTTAATCTTCGTACCCCTCTATCCCCCGATTGAGAACATGAGAAAAACAAAACCCATTACAAGTATGTATAGTTGATCAAAACAAATTTCCACATTGTCCATGTCTGAAAAAGTATTTATCTCATTCTGCATTTTGAGTCCTTCTCTTTATGAGGAGGTGGGTAACATTTTTTATTAGTAGGCCTCTGGAATCCTAGTTGACCATTATACTGATAAAAAAGTTCAGCACGATAATATTCCTCATATACCATAACTTGCTCACTCATTCCCCAAATTGTGAGCACACCCTCAAATTCTCATTCTTTGCCACCTCGAAAACAGCCATAAATATTTTTATACATCCTTAAGAGTTTGTTTTGCTTAGAACTAATCCCTCCATTCCTTCTAATTCTTCTGCTTCCCTTCTCCTCTTTCCCTCTTATATATCCATTGAGTGAAATGTGTTTCTGTATCCAACTGTGTGTGTGAGTGCATGCATGTGTGCATGGGTTC